ATTCATGGCACAATTCAGACGGGATCGAGAGATACGTTTTCTCTCTTCATTGACTTCAATGCATAATTTTTCCGAAATAACGTCCCATGGACCGGAAGTAGATGGGCGTGACTTTGCCACTCTATAGTGTCATATAGAGAGGCGAAGTTCCTCCCCTTTTTTGTGTGAAGCCGCTCTGTGAACTACATCTCCCGTCTCGCACCACACACCAAGACGGCCGTCACGTTAGCACATTTCACTTCTTTCTTTCAGAATGAGGCGAAAAGTATTAAAAGAGGTTAAATCACTACAAGTCTGGGCATGTTGAGGGCTGTACATACACAAAAGGGGAGTTAGTCGGTTCCGTAAGAGCCAGCATGTGGGACCGGGATTCTGGGACTTGTAGTCTTTCTAGTTGCGTATTTTTCATGGTCTTATATTTCAACAGCTTTACGACAAACTGTGACTTTTTTGACATGTAAATTATTATTTAAGATTGACGCATATCATATGTGTAATTCGTGGCACAATTCAAACGGGATCGAAAGATAATCTTTCTCTCTCCATTGACTTCAATACAAACTTTTTCCGAAATAAGGTCCCATGAGTCCCACCGGAAGGGGAGGGATTTCGCCTCTCAATGGCGCTGGTGTCATCTATGCATCATATACCCATAATATACTTTACATCATACTGTATATTAGGTATAAGTTATGAATCACTATGCCAATTTATTTTGTATTAATTGACTACTTTCAAATTGCACAGAAGAATATTTTGTGACTTTGATATTGTCCTGTATTTTTAAGATGCATTGCATTCACAAAACTGTACTGGTGTGTAGTTGAGACCAAGTCTGAGAAAAGTGGGCGAAGCGGGTACATTGGCCCCCTCACTTCATGCCATCGGTCCGAGTGCTGTTGCCCTTAAATTCTTGTGATCATATAGCAATGGCCAGAAGTAGAGTATATTTTCAGAGGAGGCAGGAACCTGTCTGCGCAGCACCCTTTCACTATGCGCAGTCCGCGCGCAGCGTTGTCCCTCGTTGGCACTCGCACGTTAACGCATGCGTAATAGTTACAGAGATATTCGGCGCTGAAAAGGAAGGAGCCTACTTTTGTAGTGGTGTTCAACCAAAGCAGTATTAGCTAGGGGAACAGGAGTGTCCACTAAAACAGCGTCTACTTAGTTCCTTTGCTTTCGAGCATCGTGACAAAGTGCAGAGGGTAGAACATGGCGGATAAAGAGGGTAGGTTTACTAGAACTACATACGGCGGCCCGTTTTCCTCATGCACCGCTTTGTGTTAGCGGCACGGCCGTTTAACTCTGCTATGGATGCTAGCATCATATGCTAGCTTAGTGAAGCCCCATCAGCAGGAGTGTCGATGCTTTGAGCATGTCTGTGTGCTGTTTTCGGTTGTGTGTTTTAAAAATAAGCTCATGTCAGTAATATGCTCTGTTAACTCAGTCCAATGGCCCAGACAGGAATGAATTCCATTGAAAGTGTGTGCATGTTGTGACGCTGCCCCAGCCCCCCCACCTTCACACACCGTGACGTCAGTGGGTGGTAGCGAGCTGTAAAAGTTATGAAGGGAAAATGGTTAATAATATAGAGTAACCACCCTATCAGCAATTTTTTTATTGACATTGTTATCAAACTTCTGTCACATATCAGCGTTAACATGTAAGTAAGATAGCATGAATAGTTTTAAATAGACCCTGATGTAACCATAGCCTGTATCCCCTGCGCATCTCCCGGACTGAACCTCGTTTCTCCATCAGCACCAGAATGCTTATACTATGTAACCCTAGCCTGTGTGTGCTTAATACACAGCACATCAATCCCCTGATTATAAATACACACTAGTTGCCTCTGTTTGCTGTACCTGGCTCTCATACCATGTTGTTCTATTAGTGTATGACGATGCAGTGGAAGAAAGGGTCATCAATGAAGAGTACAAGATCTGGAAGAAAAACACACCCTTCCTGTATGACCTGGTGATGACCCATGCGCTGGAGTGGCCTAGTCTTACCGTCCAGTGGCTCCCAGATGTCACCAGGTATTTACATTTTCCCCAATCATACTGATCCTAAGACGGGGTTTGAACACTAACAGCAGTGTCAACAAGTGTCGTGTCAATGTAGTTATTATGGCCTGTGTCCTCCGGCCCGCTGTCCTAGCTGTAGTAGCTCTGCACCTGCATAACTCAACATGGTTACGGAGCTAAGGGTTCTCCTTTTGGATGTTTTTCTTCAACATCCAGTTCTGGTGGTCCTCTCCTGGGTTTGCTAACAACACAACTGCATCAAAGTCAACATCTGGTCAGGAGTTGGACAGACACAACACATTATTGACATTTTTACTATCGGAACTCTCTAACAGTCCAGGCTTGTCTGTGAGAACTTTAAAGTATCACATTTGAATCGTGTACAAATGAAAAGCCTCTCATGTTGAACTGAAAGGGAAGCTATCTTTGTTACAAAGTACAGATCTAAAGCCTCTTCTGTTTGGCTCTCTGCAGGCCCGAGGGGAAAGACTATGCCGTTCACAGGCTGGTTCTGGGGACCCACACATCAGATGAGCAGAACCACCTTGTGATTGCCAGTGTGCAGGTACCAAACGATGACGCACAGTTTGATGCCTCGCACTACGACAGCGAAAAAGGAGGTAGTTACACCAGGAGTCACATCTGAATAGTTGCTTGTTAAACTAATAACCATTTGTAAGGTCAAGAGTGTAGGTGTGCATTTTTCATATACAAATGGACAATGTTATATTAGTATTTACATTCAATGATTGACTCAAAAAACACACTGTTTGTTAGGCCTCATGCATTTCCCAGGAACTGGTTTAAACACTGTGTAGCTCAGAGCTTTGATGAAGTGAGGGAAGTAATAATGGGTCATGTTTCATTCAATGGTTTGTGCTGACACTGTTATTCTGTCTTCCAGCAGGTATGTTGATGGGTGCCCTGCGTTGGGGGGGGGGTGTGTGACTGAAAGGCTCACTGATCTGTTGGTGGAAGTGTTAGTATGTTAGTCTGGCTTCCGAATAATCTTAAGGTACAGTTTACATTTCCTTACACACAAAACCGGTCTAGCATACATTTCAAAATAAAGGGGTAGAATCTTAGTTTTTTTATCTGTTTGGGAGTCTCTCCTTTTTCATTTTAAGTCCTGCTTTCAAATGGTGCCTGGGCACCGCTGCCCTAAGCTTTGCCCAAATTACACATATCGGGTTTCTGTCATCTGGAAATACAGATTTTGGCAAGCATGTTGTTCCTTGTAGTGTAGTCTACTGGCCTCAGTAGCACTTAGAAACACTTACTCTGCCAGCATGATATAAAATACAGAGATGCTTTAACTGGGATTTAATGGCCAAAAACAACTCATTGTTTGTTTGTTTGTTTTTTTGCTGTGGCCAATACCAATATGGTAGTTGCTAATGTGCATAATGCAAAAGGTTTTTATTTGAGATAATGGCCTGTATAATATTGACAAGCATGTGGCTTAGAAAAACCATTCAAGATGATCATTTTCAAAATGGTTGACTAATGAACTGTTTCCCGGCAGATTTGGTTGCACTTGTGAATAAAACCAAGAGACATATAGGCACACATCAAAAAGAGAGAACAGGAGAGAAAAGCAGTGAGACTAAAATCCTGAAAGATGTCGAGGCCAGGCTCCACATCATAGCACGCAATTTCCGCTCACAACAATAATTGATCATGTATGGGCTAATAAAAGATCAGCCCCACTAATATGAACTAACTGACCAAGCAAGGGTCAATGATTTCTTGGGGGTGTCTGGTGTCAATGGACCTGCTTCGGGTGTACTAAAGTCTTATTGGATCTCTTATCAGAATTCGGTGGCTTTGGTTCTGTAAGTGGGAAGATTGAGATTGAAATCAAGATCAACCATGAGGGGGAGGTGAACAGAGCGCGCTACATGCCACAGAATCACTGCATCATCGCCACCAAGACCCCCACCTCTGACGTGCTGGTGTTCGACTACAATAAGCACCCAGCTAAGCCAGGTGAGATCCCTGCCGTGCTCGTATACTGATGACTGAGTGCATGAGAATGCACGTGACTCCAGGTAATCACACACCCTGAAGGTAAACACAGTCTTGCTTTGTGCCTTTCAGATCCCAGTGGGGAGTGCAGTCCTGACTTAAGGCTGAAAGGTCACCAGAAAGAAGGGTACGGCCTTTCCTGGAACCCAAACCTCAGCGGCAACCTACTCAGTGCCTCTGATGACCATGTGAGTGTACAACTGAAAGATGCCTTTTTAGCCCTGGTTCTTTAGTGCAGAGAAGAGGCTGTTCCAGAACGAATCCCCCTTAGACGCATCACATTTAGGCTACCAGAACTACCATTTGGATGTTGCACTGTTCCATGCCATAACTTCATTTCAATTCCAATTCATTGTGCAGCCCTATTACGCACACAACAAATGGAAGCACTCAAGTAAAATTCAAGTACTTCAATACTATACTAGTGTACTATACTCAAGTAAATATACTTGGTTATTTTCCTCGTCTTGGCTGTGTTTTAGCCTTTGCTGTATTCAAGACAGCAGTATTCATCCAAATGTTTGAAGCTTCATGGACTTATGTACTCAAAGGGAAGGAGGCTGCCTTCATACTAGACCTCCTTGTTTCTGTTACTTCATTCAATCCAATAAACCAAATATAACTTGACATAGCTGTATTATTGACACACAGCTCCACTTCACATCATTCACTGTAGTTTGCCACATGTTGCCATATATTCATTGCCCTAAGTGTTTTCGTTTTTTTGTTGCTTTTAAGGTTCTTTGTATATTTACATTTGTGTGTAAATACCTAAATAGTTTCTTAAAAATACCTATTTTCCTTGTATGTGTAAACATACCTGGCAATGAACTTGATTGTGTTCTTCATCTCCTGGACAGAGAGAAATGTGCTCTACAGTGACTCACTGTCGCTTCTAGAGGAGCACTTGGTGTCACAGGATGAGCTGCTGCTGCCACCTGCTGCGCATTCTCATTTCAGGAGTGATTTCTGCCCCATGGACATCTTTCATATATCATCAAAACTGTAGCCCCTTCACATTCTGTTCATCATGTTAGTTCATTTGTTGAAATGTCGTTGATTTACCAATACTAGCTATATTGTTCAGATGGCACTTTTTGAAGAGGAAGATAGAAACAGTGTGTTACTAAAAGCAGCTCACCAGTACACCTGTTTAGTGCTGTAAGGATAGGCGCAGTGAGGGGCTGAGTGAAAGTCAGACGTTTGAAATAAAGCTGTACCGTTTACAACAAACTCACTCAGCGAACACGTCTCCCACCAATCTGGATCAGTTGTTACAAGTTGACATTGCCTGCTATAATTGCCAGCCTGTTGAAACGCAACCATGCCACTGGGAATATGAGACTATCAGAATTGAAAACCACTTGTTTAGCAGGGATTCTATCATCCGACTCTTTAGTGTAAGTTGCGATGACGGATGTTGGTATGAACAGTGATAACAAGGGGTAAAATAACTGACTGTGCTCCCCATTTTGTTACTCTGCAGACCATCTGTCTCTGGGACATAGGGGCGGGAACAAAGGAAGGGAAGATCGTGGATGCCAAGACCATCTTCACCGGTCACACAGCCGTGGTGGAGGATGTCTCCTGGCACCTGCTCCACGAATCCCTGTTTGGCTCTGTGGCTGACGACCAGAAACTCATGATGTAAGTGTGAATGCTGAATGTGCACTTTGTGGCCTGGTTCTGCTCAAAGTTTGATTTCATCGTTTTGTGCCTCTGACTCTTGAACCCTGCACCAGATGGGACACTCGGTCCAGCACCACGTCCAAAGCCAGCCACGCAGTGGACGCTCACACTGCTGAGGTCAACTGTCTGAGCTTCAACCCCTACAGCGAGTTCATCCTGGCTACTGGCTCCGCTGATAAGGTACAGGAGAAAACAATGGACTCTGAACTCAAATAAGTTGAATAAATGTGACTGAATATTTCATGCTAAGCTTGTTTTGTATTTCAGACTGTGGCACTGTGGGATCTGAGGAACCTCAAACTGAAGCTCCACTCCTTCGAGTCCCATAAAGATGAAATCTTCCAGGTAAGAACTTCAAAGCTTCAAAATGTTTTGTATTTGTTAGAAAGAAGGTGTCATTAATATAGAAAACACAACTAGGTTAAATTATGATAAGCTGTCAATTCAATAGTCATAGTCTAAATGTATGTAATCACAACAGACCAAAGTCAGGGATTGGAAACGTGCTCCAGCTAGCTTGTGCTATGGATAACAATGTAAATGCAATCCTGACAGCTAGTGAGCACGAGAACTAGCGGCTCCTGTTCCTGCTTTGAACCAGGCCATGGTGCTGAGATGAAGTCTAACACTAAGATATAATCTACTTCATTTTGTTGACACAAGCGCGCTGTACATTTACTGTTAGGCTTTATCTTTTGATACCAGAACAGTCTGATACCCGTCTGATGGACAGATGTCTGTGGCAGTCAACAGAAACGGTGCTTCTGATCCCAAACAAGCA